AGCAAGTTACTTAACCAGCCTGCGGGCCAATGTCCTCACTTCCAAAACTGGGTCTCACCTCTTAGGGTTGCTGTGAAGATTAAAAGAGAGATGGTACAGGGCTTAGCCTGGTGATTGGCTGAGAAGTGCTGAGTGAGCATTGCCACTATTATTCAACGTCTGAACATTTCAGTGAGCTTGACCCCAGCCCAGGTTCTAAGGCTTTCTCTTTTTCTTAAAATGTTTGTGGACAAAAGGTTGTACAGTTCATTTGAGCCTCTCTTATGAGCTATTTATTAAATGTTTCTTTGTGGTCTAAAATGATCATTGAATTTGAATACTCCCCTTCTGCTATTTTATTTTTCTAGGGTGGGAAATGTCAATTGGGGTGGATTTGAAATACTACTGACTAGGGATATTAAACATGTGAGTGTTTAATGACAGTGAGTTTTTTTAATATAAAAAGACAAAGCCAAAAAAAAAAAAAAAAAAAACAAACAAGCAGATGGGATCATTAAATTATTGATAATGTTTTGCTGCAATGATTTATAAATAATACATGTTTAAAGGGTTATTTCCTTTACATTTCTTTAGGGACAACTAAAGAGTCTTCTCGTTTGGAGTTTAAAGAGAACAGACAGGTGGAAAAAGTCAACGAAATGTTCATTCGTGCAGTTTCTATGCCCCAAACCCCTGAAACTTCCAATAAAAACATAACAAATTTTATGCAACCATATCAAATAGTCTCCTTTATTTTTAGAGCAGAATGAAGCAATGGCTTTAATTTAGCATCTAGGGAGGAAAAGCTTAAAATATAGTAATACAAAGTTTCATATTAAACAGTATCACTTTTTTTTCTCAGAAAACCTCCAAATTGAAGTTCGCTTCTATGAAGTTCGCTTCTATGAATAAAAACCAAAAAGGAACCCAACAATTAGTCTCTGAAGGCTATCAATTTCCAGACACATTAGCTCTTTAGAATATGTTATTTTAAAAAGGGAAAATGTGGAGTGACTAGGGACAGATCCTGGGAAACGATAAAGCCAGCTACGGTTACTGTCTGCCCAGCTGCCCTCCACAGGTCTGGGGCCCACGGGTATTATATGGCACATGGTGTTTGATGCACATAGGTGGGCAGGGGGGAGCATAGGATCCATAGTTTTTATCAGATGTTTATGGTCTTGAAGAAAGTTAAGATCCATGGCTTCTTCCTTTTTCCTTTTGGAACTGGCTGAGAGGAATAAGGGGGTGAGAGGGTGCAGGTTATGCGGGGAAGGAAGAACACCCGGCCAGCTCGTCCCGTGTCAATTAACCTCTCACCTCCCTGCAGCCTTTCCACCTCCATAAACCGTGATCAGCACTCAAAACTGGTTCAACAAGGCTAAACAAGACAGGAATAAAGACACAGACCTACTAGAGAATGGACTTGAGGATATGGGGAGGGGGAAGGGTAAGCTGTGACAAAGCGAGAGAGTGGCATGGACATATATACACTACCAAACGTAAGGTAGATAGCTAGTGGGAAGCAGCCACATAGCACAGGGATATCAGCTCGGTGCTTTGTGACCGCCTGGAGGGGCGGGATAGGGAGGGTGGGAGGTAGGGAGACGCAAGAGGGAAGAGATATGGGAACATATGTATGTGTATAACTGATTCACTTTGTTATAAAGCAAAAACTAACACACCATTGTAAAGCAATTATACTCCAATAAAGATGTAAAAAAACCCCCAAAAAACTGCTTATAGAACGTGAATGTGAAACGGTATCCAGCAACCGCAGGGAGAGACAAATTGTCTTTAAATCTTTTGTTACTTGAATTAAAAAAAATTCTTTTCTTTGGAAGTGTGCTTATTTTTTTCCCCTGTATATTTGGTTTTAACCTCTTTCTCTGCAATTTTCAACAGCGGTTTGAAGCAGGCTATAAACCCATAATTCAGTGACAAAACTCAAGCATTTTTCTGATGATGAGGGGATAGTTTAAATGTTTTCTTTGAATGGGAGAATGTATTTTCTTCACAAGCTGTTAAAATATATTCTTCCTGAATATATTTAAAATATATTTTAAAAATATATATTTAAAGTATATTCGGGCCTGAAAGTGACTTAGTTGTGTTACCTATTTGTACTGGTAAGAGAGGGAGTGAAAATTCCATGAAAAATTGGGCAGGGAGAGATTAAACGATTTATGTTACCAAATTTAATCACATTTCTCTGATGAGGACAGGGCTGAGGGAGCTTCAGTAACTTGCTCGGCATCCGCCAAGTGAGCATCAGGGCCAGGGTCTAAATCCGGGTGTGACTCCAAAGTCCACATTCTTTCCTCTGCCTTCTTCCCCTCTGGTGAGGCTCCTCTGTGACACCCCTTCCCCACTCTGCACCTGGGCAACGAGGACAGATGCCTGCAGTTTCCTGGAGGAAAGGGGGACCGTCCCAGAGAATCCCTCCCCTACAGGGGTTCTTTATGCTGACAGGTGATGGCCATAGAAAAGGATGGTTGGATAAAACAAAAGACCTGAGACCACAGTTTTCCTGAAAGACTGTATCCATTAGAAAGTGTGAAGAACAAACCATTCAAAGTCTAGGCAATAGAAAGTGTTGGAGCTTTGAAAACAGCCAACCTGATTTGGGTTTTACCCTAAAAACTAGGGAGGCACTGCCCCATTTGGGGATGTGAGGTGGCTTTTTATCCATAATGATAAAGTGTTGCGCTGACGCCTTCTCTCTGCAAACTCCACAGGACACTTCAGCAAAGGACAAAAAGCCCATCTGCTAAGAGGAGAATTTGAGTAACATCTTAAAGTGACATATCTGAGGCACCCAGCCCAATGCCTGGTCAAAGTTTGGTGCTAAATAAATGATCGTTCCTTTTTCGTTCCCACAAGAGATATGAGGCCAATAGAATTTTGAGGGAAACCGTTAGTCTGAAGTCTGCACAATTGCCAAGTGTACAGTTTCTGTGATGATGTCATGGAATGTTTTGATAGGAGGTCCCTGAGAGACCATCTTAGGCTCTGACTCCTTTCCCCCAGCTTTATTGAAGTATAGTTGATGAATAAAATGTGTGTATATTTAAGGTGTACAATGTGATGATTTAACATATGTCACATTGCGAAATGCTCACCACAATCAGCCCAACACATCGTCACTCAGTTACCGCGTGTGTGTGTGTGTGTGTGTGTGTGTGGTGGAGAGGTGGTAAGAACAATTGAGGTCTATTTTCGTAGCAAATGTCAAGAATACGATAACTGTAGTCACCACCGTACTGTACATTAGATCACCAAAACTTGTTCATCTGGTGACTGCAAGTTTGTAGCCTTCAACCGACATCTTCCCGTTACCCGCACCCCAGCTCCTAGCAACTACCGTTCTGCGCTCTGCTTCTATGAGTTTGACTTTTTTAGATTCCACACAAAAGTGAGATCATACAGTATTTGTCTTTCTCTGGCTTATTTCACTCAGCATAATGTCTTCCAGTTTCATCCATGTTGTCGCAGATGGCACGATTTCCTTTCTCATGGCTGAATAATATTCCATCATGTATATGTATATTACAACTTCTTTATTCATTCATCCATCGATAGACACCAGGTTGTTTCCATATCATGTGAATAATGCTGCAATGAACGTAGGAATTCAGTTATCTCTCTGAGAAGTTGATTTCATTTCCTTTGGATATATTCCCAGAAGTGGGATTGTTAGATCATATGGTCATTCTATTTTTTAATTTTTTGAGGAACCTTTATACTGTTCTCCATAGTGCCTGCAGCAATTTACATTCCAAACAATGCACAAGGGTTCCCTTTTTTCCAGGTCCTCACCAACACTTATTACCTCTTGTCTTCTTATAATACCACCTTAATAGGTGTGAGGTGATAGCTCATTGTGGTTTGATTTGCATTTCCCTAAGGATTAGTGGTGCTGAGCCCCTTTGCATATACCCATTGGCCGTCTGTGTCTTTGGAAAAATGTCTGGGCAGGTCCTATTTTTCAACTGGGATGTATTTATTTGCTATTGAGTTTTATGAATTTCTTACATATTTTGGATATAAACCCCTTTCCAGATACATGGTTTGCAAATATTTCCCCCCATTCTGTAGGTTGCCTTTTCATTTTGTTGCTAACTCCCCCTTAACCAACACCAAAATCTGACCAGAAGGCCTAACTCATCAGAATGTTACTGACACTAAACTTATAGAGGAAAGAAGCAAATGATAAGAAAACCAGTTGGCGACAAGGATGTATAAATAAACATTAAACATGTTACTGACACTAAACTTATAGAGGAAAGAAGCAAATGATAAGAAAACCAGTTGGCGACAAGGATATATAAATAAACATTGAACCGTCTAGACAGCATCGTGTGTTCAGTACTCATTCTTCTCATTCTCAGACAGCTAATCTCTAGTCCTGGAGGGTGATTCCTAAACTCAGAAGGACGAGGCATTAGAAGTCAGACAAAACCAAATTAATCCTGTTCTCTGTGAGGCACACTTTACCAGGACTCCTGTTCTACAATGTTTTCTGGTAACAAGGTTAAGCCCTGATGAGCTAGAGATCTCAGTGAATCAGAATACACTGGTTGGGACCTGGCAGGCGCTTTACCCACAGCTGGAGCTCAGGAGACGTGTGTTTGTTCCCCTCAGGACCAGGGCTGGGAAAAGATGCACTACAAAGATGCACTAAGCACATCACAGTTTTCTGTGCCCTCCCGGTGCTGTCTGCCCAACACCCCCATCCTGCTTCTCCTCTCGTTCCTGCACGAGAAGAGATGTAGGGTGTCAGCAAATGGGCTGACTCATCTGACATCAGATTGAGTCCTTTTTATTTGCCCTTTTGGTTGGCCTCAGTCTCTGATATTGGGAACGACCATATTATGTTTGTGAAGGTTTTCATTTCACAGAAGACACTTGGACTGCAGAGGACTCTGGTGATTTAAAGGTCCGGTGTGAGTGGCTGCCTGATAGCTCTTTGTTTTCCACAATCCTTTGACTAGAAAAAGAAATCAGAGTGTGTTTTAAACATGCTGCCTCGTGAGGGACAGGGATTCCTTCACTTTGGGCTGTGTCTCTGGTGGCATGTATTCACACTTTGCTTCAGAGGTAGGTTTTATTTCTGCTTGTTCTCATATTCCCTTTTTAGCTACATGTATTTCCTAGTTTTATTTTTCTCCTTTTCTAGTTGTGCTTGACTGAGCAGAGATGAGATATGCTACGGATAAATATGTAGCATGTCTGCACAGGAATTACTCCTCTTATAACTGCTAATTATTCATTTTTAGTTGGTTGGCTTAACATGTAAAATGAGATTTCAGGGGGATGGGGTGGGGAGGACAAGGAAACATTGTAAACCATGTTTTATTTTATTTTCCCAATGAAAAATAGGCAAAAATAACAATGGTACAGTTTTCTATCCGTCTCCGCTATGGATGTATTCAACTTCTTTACCTGTATTTAATATTTTTTCAAAACTGTGGTTTATTAGCTGATACTATTCCTCAGTCTATGAACCCTTCCATTTTGTAGGTAATCATCTTCATTTTGGGAAATGTGTCCTAAGAGTAAGATCATTTATTTTCAAAGTTAAGGCTTAGAAACGGACAGCTGCTGCTCTGTCCATGTCCACAAAGCCACATTTCCACATGCTGTCGGCTTTGCAGGGACTTGCTTGTCAAGACACAAGGAGGGTTTATCTGAAATGTCTCAAAGGAAAAGAAAATCCTCAAAGGAGGAAAATGGGTAGCAGGAGGATTTTTTAATTATCTGTTTTATGTAGAAATATTTCTATCTTTATTAATTACGATGGCAGACAATGATGTTTTACATCTAAGATTGCTCTCTCCTGCTG